GAGTTGGAGGTTGCTGTGAGCTGTAATGCCACGGCACTCTGCCCAGGGGGACAGCTTGAGGCTCTGTCTCAAAAAAAAAAAAAAAAAAAAGAAACCCTCTGGAAACAGCTTTTACCCTAAGCACATGTTAACACTAGAAGCTGGTGGAGCACTGAAAGTAACAAACGCAAAACCAAAATTCAAGCTGAGCTTTACTCTTAATTTGCCTGACTGGTTCCTCCATACTAACAGTATAGTGGGAGAGGCACATCCATTTCTAAGCATACATACATATAGCTGTCTTTATTGTCCTACAATAATGTCTAATATTCAGTCAAAACTTATGAGCTACACACACGTAAAAAGAAAAAAACCAACACAAGGGACAAAGCAATCAACAGGAACAAACTCAGGAATGACCCAGATGTTCAAATTATTAGACAAACAGACAAAAATGTATGAACAGATGAGGAATTCCAGCAGGGAGCTGGAAACTGGAAAAATCAAATGGAAATGCTAACTATAAAAATACCATAGCAGGTATGCAGAATGGTCTCATGATTTCATGAGATCTGACATGATGAAGCAAAGATAGGCAATAGATATTAACCAATACAAATTACCCAAAATGATAGGCAAAGAGAAAAGAGTAAAAAACTAGAGAATCCAAAAGCTGTGGGACAATATTAAATGGTTTAACCTAAGCATTATCAGAATCTCAGAAGGAAAAGGAGGAGAGAATAAAGTAGAAGAGATAATGGCTAAGAATTTTTCAACCATAATCAAAGATATACAGAACCAAGGTCTGGCACAGTAGCTCACACTTAAAATCCCCGCACAAGAGGCCTAGGCAGGAGGACTGTTTGAGCGCAGAGATTAGAGATTAGCCTGGGCAATAGGGAGAGCCCATCTCTAAAAACATAAAATTGGCTGGGCACAGTGGCTCATGCCTATAATCTTAGCACTATGAGAGGTCCAGGTCGGGGGACTACCTGAGCTTAGAAGTTCCCAGACCAGCCTGAGCAAGAGCAAGAGCCTATCTCTACTAAAAACAGAAAAACTAGCTGGGCACTGTGGCAGGTGCCTATAGTCCCAGCTACTCAGGAGGCTGAGGCAGGAGGATCACTTGAGTACAGGAATTTGAGGTTGTTGTGAGCTAGGCTGACGCCACAACACTCTATCTAGGGCAATGGACTGAGACTCTGTCTCAAAAACAGAACAAAACAGTAGCCAGGCATGGCGGCTTACACCTGTAATCCCAGCACTCTGAGAGGCTGAGGCAGGCAGATGGCCTGAGCTCACAAGTTCAAGACCAGCCTGAGCTAGACCCAGACCCCGCCTCCAAAATTAGCCAGGTGTTATGGCAGGTGCCTGTAGTCCCAGCTACTCAGGAGGTTGAGGCAAGAAAATCACTGGCGCCCAGGAGTCTGAGGTTGCTGTGAGCTATGATGCCACAGCATTCCATTAGGGGCAACAAAGTGAGTCTCCATCTAAAAAATAAATAAATAAATAAATAAAATCAACTAGACATGGTGGTACACACCTGCAGTCCCAGCTACTCAGGAGGCTGAAGGCAAGAAGATCACTTGAGCCCAGGAGCTGGAGGCTGCAGTGAGCTATGACAATGACACTACACTGTAACCCAGGCAACAAAGCAAGACCCTGTCTCAAAAAAGAAGGACCCCAAATGCCCAGAAAACTCCAAGCAAGAAAGCAGGATAAATACCAAAACAAACAAATACTTAGACACATTATATTCGAACAGTTAGAAACCAAAGATAAAATACTGAAAACATTCAGGAAGAATAGATACAATATATACAAAGGAACAAAGATATACCTAGATCTCTTGTCAGAAACTATGCAAACCAGAAAACAGCACATAGTAATACTAGAGGGATTTAAAGCTGGTGGTACACTGAAGGCAACCAAAGCAATCACAAAACCCAAATCCAGCTCAATTAATTCCTGACCAGAATGACTTGACCTCTATTGTGTTAACATCCTAGCAATTGAAGTATGTCCATTTAAAGTGCTAAAAGAAAAAATATTGTAAACCAAGAATTCTACATCCAGTGACAATCCCTTTCAAAAGGGAAAAACCGGGCGGTGCCTGTGGCTCAAAGGACTAGGGCGCTGGCCCCATATGCTGGAGGTGGTGGGTTCAAACGCAGCCCCAGCCAAAAACAAACAAACAAACAAAAAAAAAACAGAAACAAAAGGGAAAAACCAAAGCTGAGACAATTTGTGACAGCAGACCTACACTATGAGAATTTTTTTTTTTGAGACAGTTTCATTTTGTCACCCTAGGTAGAGTTCCATGGTGTCAGTGTCATAGATCATAGCAACCTCAAACTCTTGGGCTCAAGCAATCCTCTTACCTCAGCCTGGG